CCGACGAATCGATTGTTACTAATGTCGAACTCGTAAAGGAGGGTGAGCCTCCAAAAGCTTGTGGGAATGATACCGCATAATCGGTTGCTATTGATGTGGAATAGGGCGATGTCAGTCAGCAAACCAAGCTCGACGGGTAGATAGCCAGCAATGTCGGCATGGTTGAGATCAATGCCGGCGACAACTTCGAGTTCAGGGTCGTCAAGGGCAGGGGCACAAAATACGCCGGTGTAGGAACAGACATCAGCACCGACCCAATTGACAGTGGTGTTCAATGGGTCAGAATAAATAGCCATCTTCCAAGCTTGAAGGGCAATGTAAGCTCGCCGAAGTCTGGGACTGGAGAAGGTTTCGTTGACTTGGATTTTGGTTTCATAATCATCGGACAAATCATCGTTCTCATGAAGGGTCAAGAGCTGGCGGCGTGTGATGGAATAAACTTCGGCATCGGAAAGAGCCGACAAAAAAAATGAAAATGAAGATAGAAGAAGAAGAGAAACGAACAAACAGCAATCCANGCGTGTGATGGAATAAACTTCGGCATCGGAAAGAGCCGACAAAAAAAATGAAAATGAAGATAGAAGAAGAAGAGAAACGAACAAACAGCAATCCAAACCCTTCATTATATTGATATTTATTTCTAATGGATATGTGCCGCCTCCTTGGGTAAGCCCAAGGGCTGTTTGCAGAGGATGAACATCAAAGGGGGCTCCGCCGGGTTTTTATACAGGAGGGGCACGACCCGATTTGTTGGTGGAGAGGCTTTTTTGCCGCTTCCAACGGCTGTTTTCCGAATATAGGGGAAACCCCATTCAACTTAAATGAATGTTTTTCTTTTTTTCAGACCGTTTATTCAATATTGGCTCCCCGTGATTTTCTTCTAACTAATAACTGTCTACAGATTACTGTACACATCATCAAAGGCCAGACCCGCTAACGTAGTAATAATCATTTTTTTTTTGTAAGAAAATAAATATCAGGATTTTATCAGGTAGACAGAAAAATAGATATCACCATATATTTATTAAAAAGTTATAATTAAATTAAATTATGGTTAAAAAAACTCTTTTGGTCCATTACTTTTTTATTATTAAATTAATTATCTAAAATTTAGTTTATAACAATTTGATAATTGAATTTTAAATAGGTAGCAATTTAGTTCCTGAAATTTAATATATAATAATTTAGTCTTTATAGTTTAAAATTTATTGCAATTTCATCCCTATTTACCATGAAAAATCTCATTAAAATTAATTGTCAGCTTTTATTATATAACGATTTAGTTTTTATGGTTTATAAATACATTTGGTCCTACTCAAATTAAATCTCAACAACATGTTCATTAAATAGACCAAATCAATATAAGTTTTGATCTACATAGACTAAATTGTTATATATTTAAAGTTAAGAGACTCAATTGTTATAAACTTGAAAGAGTATGGACTAAATCCTTACAATGGACTAAATTGTTATTCGCGTTACAGAGGGCCTCATTTAAAAAAAAATACACCGTCTTGGGGCTTTACTGGGACTAACTAGTAAAAGGCCCAAAACCGGAAACGATCTTAAAAACCAATCGTGGTCCGGTAAAAAATCTCAATATCATATTCTTTCCGAAGAAAAACAAAAATTGTGTTTTCATTATGGTCTTACAGAATGACAGTTACTTAAATAGGTTCGTATCATCGGAAAAACGAAATGATGAATGGGTCAAGTTTTACTACAATTAYTTGAAATGCGTTTGGATAACATCCTTTTCCGATTGGGTATGATTTCGATTATTCTTCAAGCCCGCCAATTAGTTTTGCAAACCCCGAGATATTATTACAGCAAAGCATGAAAAAAGATCGAGTAGCATTGATTCAAAATTATCTTGATTCATCCTCTTAGAAATGGCCAAAGCATCTAATTCTTCCGCCATGGCAAGTACGAGAATCAAAAATATTTTTTAACCTTAAATTATTATTATGATCATGTTTTAGAAGTTTTAATAGATCTTGCTTTAAAAACAAAAAAGAAAAAAAAATCTATTTATTTATCAAAAATCTTCTTTACTCTTTCTCCAAATTTGGTATATAATCGGTCGAATAGAAAGCATTGCTTCATTCACGCTTTATTTAAAATTGTCAAGTTTTCATTATGATAGCTCACTCGTACAGATTCAAAATTATAGCTCGTAACCATATCGCAATAATTAATTATTAACAATATGAAATAAATAAAAACTAATTAACCTAGATCACAAACACCAAGATTATGACAAATTGTATCAATTATTTTATTAATTGATATTTTATACCATATTAAAAAAATATACTAGTTTTTATTGAATTGATACAATGTGTTCAATGCTGGCATGTATTTTAAAAAGAACGACTTGGTTTCAAGTTTCGTGTAGTTATTATAGTTCCTCTTGCTTTTCTAGATTGCCTTGTATTACTAGGAAATACCAAGCTTTTTTTTTTTTTTTTTCAATTTCGAGACGTGAATCCTGAAAATAGAACTAGACCTTCTTTCCTCTATGTCTAGTCATCAGTTTTCCATAAAAATATTTTTTCTTTAAAAAGATTTATTGATTCAATGTGCATTATCAATATCTCTATTTGTGATTCGTTAAATCATAAACCTGTACCATTTTTTTCAGAAAATGAAAATTGAATAAATACCTTCATTTTTATATTTATTAGTCGAACTAATGAACTAAATTAAAGAATTATACGAATGAGAATGAGAAAAACTACCTTTTAGGAGAACTAATTATGATTCTAGCCTTGTGTCAGAAATTATATTAATGATGTTTATAGAAATACCATACTAACAAAATATTTGAAGAACTTTATTTTTTTACTTTTTATTTTTATAATTCATAAAGAATGGACCTTGGTGAGGATATGTAATAATGACAATGCCATGCATGATGCGTGGGGTGCACTTTTTGATGAAGTACGTTTGCGATTAACGGAGATGAGATTATGATTAGCCAAATTCACTTTGCAATTATATCAAAGTTTTGGATAGATATAAGTAGTGAAGACATCTAGATCAACAGTGTATTATCCCCTGGTTATATGTATATGATTGTTATAGGTAAAATTTACTAATTTAGAATACGTTGATTAGGTTGGAACATCCAATAAAACTATTTTAGATTTGCACACCTTATCCAAATCCTGAATTGAACAATTATGTTCTTTTCATTATTTATGTTTCCTTTTACAAATAGTTTTTAATGTATCTACCAACTAACAAAAGTGGTTTTTTTTTTGTAATGAGGAAAATAAAAATATTAACATAAAGATGAGAGCTGATGATTTGCCGCTTGTCGCTTAGTAACCCGGAAACATTGGTGGAGGGGGTGATGAGTACTCGAAGCCCAAATTTGGTGG